GGAGGCACCCCACAGATGCCCTTTGAGCCACAGTGCTGCCCCAGGTGTGGCCTATCTCTCCCAGTCCCGCCCCACTGGCCACCTTCTAATTAATTTCTTTTCAATGTGCATGAATCCATGCACCGGGCCACTAGTCAGAATATAAGCTCCATGTCAGCAGAAAGTTATCTGTTTTGTTCACTACTGTTTCCCTATGATTTAGAGCAGTGATGGCAAACCTATGACACACGTGTCAGAGGTGACACGTGAACTCATTTTTTTGGTTGATTTTTCTTTGTTAAATGGCATTTATATATGTAAAATAAATATCAAAAATATAAATCTTTGCTTTACTATGGTTGCAAATATCAAAAAATTTCTATATGTGACACGGCACCAGAGTTAAGTTAGGGTTTTTCAAAATGCTGACATGCCGAGCTCAAAAGGTTCGCCATCACTGATTTAGAGTAAAACTTATCCAACAGTAGTTGCTCAATAATAGATGAATGGACCCATAAAAATGTTCTTATGGGGATTGTGTGTGTGTACATCTGGGGAGACGACCATAGCTTTTTTTCAGAGGGAAATGTAACCACAGACAGGGAAAGAATAATGGAGTTAGCACATAAGACAGAGACTTGCTGATGGTTTGTAATCTACTCTGCCAATCATTTCAGGCACATGACATGTGGATGTTGGGAGATTTTGTAAGGGGGGCATGAACCCTCACATACCTTTCAAAGCTTCATTGATGTAGGTTTTGTGGTAGAATATCCGATCGGTATCTTCCACCTTCGGATTTGTCAGCCCCACCCCATTTTCGGTGACGTAAATGGGGATGTCACCATACTCTTCTTTGATCCAGTTGAGCAGTCTCCGCATCCCCCAGGGTGCAGCTCTGTTCAGTGCTGTGGACGGCCATGAAGGGTCCTCCTCCTCAATCGTCTCCTGGTCATATTGGTAGGAGGGTGGGTTTAACCTCGGTGTTGTGTACCGCACAATTCTGGAGGAGTAGGTGTTGAGGCAGAACACATCGGCCGTAGCCCTGATGTACCTCTTCTCTTCCTCTGTGAAACTGGGCAGGCGGGACGTGGCCAAGTGCTGTAGTTCACTCCTGTTCCCCACTTTCCACTTCATGGCCTCGGGATAGTCCCCATTTCGGAAAATGGGGTGGGCGAACCAGCCCAGTGAGAACTGCAGCATTCGGTCAGCTGCCTCCACATCCCTTGGGACCTCGGGCGACTTGGGCTCTGCCCAGTGTGCACTGAGGCTCAAGGAGATGACCCCCTTCTGCTTTTGCCGGTATTTCTCATCGTAAGTGTGGTAGACTCTGGCATGAGCTTTGATGAGTGCATGGCCAATCCTGTAAGGTGCCCAGCCTGGGTCCTTCACATTTGGGGGAAACTCCCCTGAGCCATAACCCAACCACGCCTGGTAGGTGGGCTCATTAAAGGTCATCCAGAACTTGACCCTGTCACCAAAGGTCTGGAAACAAAAGTCTGCATAGCTGTTAAACAACTCAATCAAGGAAGCATCCTCCCAGCCTCCGATATCTTGCAGGGCCTGGGGCAGGTCCCAGTGGAACAGTGTCACCATCGGAAAGATGTTGCTTTCCACCAAGCCATCAATCAGCCTGTTGTAATAATCAACACCACGGCTATTGATAGAACTGTTCCTCCCAGTTGGGAAAATCCGAGACCAGGAGATAGAGAAGCGATAGGCCTTCACCTTCAAAGCTCGAAGCATGTTCAGATCGGCATCCAGTTGGTTGTAGCTGTCACAGGCTATGTCTCCAGTGGCATTGCCTTTCACGTTGCTGCCTGGTGTGTGGGTAAAGTTATCCCAGATGCTGGGGCCTTTGCCGTCAGCATTCCAAGCTCCTTCGATCTGATAGGCTGATGAGGACACGCCCCACAGAAAGTCATCCCTGAACGTGCCATGGTAAAACAAATCTCGTTCAAACTTGGGTTGGTTGGAGAACTTTTCCCAAACGACTTTAGCCTTGGAGGGCACCTCAGATGGAAAAGTGAAGGCTCTGACTTTAGGGGGGAACGTTGCTGTACTGGGTGGTGGCAGTCTTTTCACTTCTTTGGTGAGGAAACCATTCTTTTCAATGATGCTGGTGAAAAAATAGGCAGATTTCCTGGGAGTCCTTGGCCTGCTGCTGTCGTTGAAGTTGACGTGGTGTAGCCCAAACCTCTGGCTGTAACCAGAGGGCCCTTCGAAGCCATCGATGAGGGAACGGGCAATGTAAGATCGAACATCCACTGAGTCCTCCTTGACAGCTGCAGGGAAAAACAAAAATACAGCGGTGTTATTTTAAAGTCTCTGTTAGTTTGCTTTTTAAAGGTTTTCCTTTTGACATGAAAGTTTTGGAGGTGATTTGGGTTACTCCCTCAGAATGGACAAGGAAAACTTACAAGACCCCACGTTTGACATGAAAGTTTTGGAGGTGATTTGGGTTACTCCAAAAACATGAACCTCTTTTCTCCCTCATAATGGATAAGGAAAACTTACAAGACCCCACAAAACATCAGGCCACATCCATGGCCATCACTCAGTCCAAAGGAGCATCCTTGTCTTAAAATGAATAATGGAGAGCATGTGCCCCATCTGCTAGCATAGAGACCTAGAGAAGCGTATGAAGATGGAGGCAGAGATTGGGGCGACACAGCCACATGCCAAGGAAAGTCTGGAGCCACCGGAAGATGGAAGAGCAAGGAGGGGTGCTCCCCTGGAACCTTTGGAGGCAGAGCATTTCTACTGGCATCTTGATTTCAGACTTCTGGACTCCAGGACTGTGAGAAAATAAAGACGGTCTAGCAGGTCAACCAACAACCAGAGCCAAAGTAAGGCAATGGCGCTGGGCTCCAACGGGGAGTCAGCAAAGTATTAAGCCTTGTTTCTATCAAATCGCACCTATTGCATACGTGGCAGGAAAAGTTGCTCACTCACTCAGTAAGTAATTCAGTAAACACCTGCTTTGTCTCCAGGCTGTGCCAGGCTCGGGGGACATAAAGATGAATAAAAGCCTCATAGGTCAGTGGGTAGAGTGAAGAGCTGAGCCAGAAATAGGCCTCTGGTTCCACTCACAGCATGTTTGGGCACACCATTTAACACCTCAGAGCATCCGTTGTCACAGGAGGAAAGTATCTGTCGATTGACTGCATACAGCTGTGTCAACGATCACTTGAGGCAATGTCTTAAATGGGTTCCAAGATTACGCACATTACAGAATGTAACCTTGATGCTGAGAGGAGTACACGTGAAGAACAGAGAGGGGGTCTGACCTCCCTCCGTGGATGTGGGTCTCCATTCCTCACTGCAATGCCCAGGGCAAGTATCACTTATCAATTCTTTCTCTTTGAATCTAGACAAAGCCTTGAAATCTTCTCACCACAGCCCTCTAGGCAGACAGCTAGCCACTCTCAACTGAGTAGGACTGGTCTGTGAGGTGAAACCTATTTGCCATTCCTTTTTACTTGGAATAAAAAGACATGTGAAACAGTATGTTATGTAAGAGTGAGACTGTAGATGTGATTAATTGAATCAAAGAGCTGTATATTTTTACAGCCAGTTAAAGGAGATGAAGATCAGTGTGGCTGGAGCACTGGAGGAAGAGTTAATGGGTTGGAGTCCTATTCTATGTGTCCTCGTGCCATCCTGTAAAGCCATTATCACCCTATGTTGCAATTTTCTGCCTGTGTCCCTCTGTAGACCGCGAATATCCTATGTGAAAAGACAATTTTTGTTTAATATTTTACCTCTACTGTATTGCACAATGTCTGGAACATAATAGTCAGCTAATAAATATTTGTTAAATAAGTGCATTAAAAAATGATGAGGCTTGATTAATGGACAGGGTTCAGATGGGCAGAATTTAGAAAGGAATAAGAATATGAGGCCTTGAGGGGGAGAGTTAGGAGGCTGATGTGAAGGACTCATGCTCTTACTACCAATACTACTTTTTGGCTTCATTTACTTGAGAGACGGTCTTGGTCCCATAACACAAAACTGTGAAGACTTGAAGGACCACCCACCTTCCGATCACCAGCATATCCACTGTTCTTACCCTTGAGCACCTCATTGATATATTGATTGAAGTAGTCTACTCTAAAGGAATCATCAAGGAGATTTTCACTTTCCCCGATGGGCATGCCATTCCCAGCCAGGTAGATTGGAACTTTTCCTCTTGTGTATTCCAAGGATATAAACCGCAACAGCCTCCTTATACCCCAGGGCACCACACGAATCCAAGGGGATGAGGTCTGGGGCCAGGCAGGGTCCACATGCTGTGAGAAGCCTCCAATGGTATCATAGCTGGGGATGCAGGTGTCTTGTTGGGCCTTGCTGATGAGGCGGGAAGTGTAATGGGACAGACCCAAGAAATCAGCTGAGCCTTTCAGGAGCTGCTTCTCTGCTTCAGTGAATTCAGGGAGCTGGGCCACGGGACTGGGGCACTGCTTGTTTATCTGTTGAATCTGGGCCCTCAGGGCAGCTGGGTAGTCTCCATCCACAAAGATAGGGTGTGCAAACCAGCCCAGCATGAAGTGCAAGAAGCGCTCAGAGGCTCTCAGGTCCTCGGGCCTCTCTGGGGAGAGGGGTTCTGCCCAGTCTGAGTTCAGCACGATGCCCACACGGCCCTGCTGCTGCGGGCGATAGTGGCTGTTGTAGAGGTGCCAAGCTCTGGCATGAGCCTTGAGGACCAAGTGAGCCACCTTGTGAAGAGGAAAGAAGGTACAGTGTCAACAACAGCACCAACAAGCCAACAGCAAGTCAACAACGTCAACAACTTAACACCGGTGTCAATAATACCAGCAAGTTAATAACAACAGCAACACTGAAAATGTCAACATCAATAACATCAACACTAATGCCAACACTGTCATTAAAACATCAACAATGTCAACAAGAAGTTAAGACTGGCCCTAACCGGTTTGGCTCAGTGGATAGAGCGTCGGCCTGCGGACTGAAAGGTCCCAGGTTCGATTCCGGTCAAGGGCATGTACCTTGGTTGCAGGCACATCCCCAGTTGGGGGTGTGCAGGAGGCAGCTGATCGATGTTTCTCTCTCATTGATGTTTCAAACTGTCTATCCCTCTCCCTTCCTCTCTGTAAAAAAATCAATAAAATATATATTAAAAAAAAAAGTTAAGACTGATGCTAACAATGTCAACAAGTCAACAAGACAGTGCTGATGGCAACAATATCAATGCCAATGCCCCCAATATCAACAATGTGGACGACAATGTCAACAAGTCAGCACCACCCCTGAGAGGTTAATAGCAACAGCATCGACAACCATATTAATAATTACAATTACTAACGAATTTGCTCATGTAATCCCCACAATAACCTATGTGACAAGTTATTATTACTGCTATCCAGGTGAGGAAAACAAGATCCAGAGAGGGTAAAATGCAGGCATTCCGACTCCAGGCCTGTATTGTCACCCACAATGTTAGTCTGCCTCCATTCTCAATAAGTAGTTATTGACTTATTAGTCAACAACTCATGGGGAGTGGAGATCATTTTAGTTACCACACAAAGGAGGGGACAATTCTTTCTAGATTACTTGTTCTCCTTTCCACTTAATAAAATCTAGGGAGAAACATCACCACCAAGAATCTCTCTGTAGACTTAACTGATAGTCTTACAAAGATCAACAGCTCTCCTTGGTGGAGCGCTATGAAAAGACGGGCAAAAGCAGGCTATCTGGAGTATAACACGCCTAGATTTAAGTCCTGACTCTGTCACTAACTTGCTCATTAAGCTCGACCAATCTTCTAACTTCAGGTCCCTAGTCCGTTAAGAAGCAGGTACTTACGGATCCACAGAGGAGAATTAAGTGAGACTGTACATATAAAGCACAAGCAGAAACTCGGGAGTGCAGAGGAGAGCTTGCTACCGCTCAGCTCCCCTTCCTTTTTATCATCTGAAGATGACGACACTTACTTTTGAAGAATTTCACATCAAAACTAGAGGCCCAGTGCACGGATTCGTGCACCAGTAGGGTCCCTTGGCCTGGCCTGCCAATTTGATTCGCAGTCAGGACACATGCCTGGGGTGTGGGTTCAGTCCTTGATCAGGGTGTGTGCAGGAGGCAACTGATCAATGTTTCTCTCTCACATCAGTGTTACTCGCTCTCTTTCCTTTCCCTTCCTCTCTCTAAAATCAATAAAAACATATATACTTTTTAAAGTACGCTTAGAAAAAAAGAAAAGGAGAAGCCTAAGGAGGAAAGGTTTGGGTGAGTTTCACAAGGAGACACACAGAAAGGTCCAAACATTCCATCCTCAGAAGCAGTTTCTCTTCCTGGTGTACTTGCTGAACAAGAGCAGGATGGAAACCCTGACGAAGTGCTGTGGTTTTGGCATTTTATTGAGGCATTTATTCATTTCCAATTACTGCTATCCAGGTGAGGAAAACAAGATCCAGAGAGGGTAAAATGCAGGCATTCCGACTCCAGGCCTGTATTGTCACCCACAATGTTAGTCTGCCTCCATTCTCAATAAGTAGTTATTGACTTATTAGTCAACAACTCATGGGGAGTGGAGATCATTTTAGTTACCACACAAAGGAGGGGACAATTCTTTCTAGATTACTTGTTCTCCTTTCCACTTAATAAAATCTAGGGAGAAACATCACCACCAAGAATCTCTCTGTAGACTTAACTGATAGTCTTACAAAGATCAACAGCTCTCCTTGGTGGAGCGCTATGAAAAGACGGGCAAAAGCAGGCTATCTGGAGTATAACACGCCTAGATTTAAGTCCTGACTCTGTCACTAACTTGCTCATTAAGCTCGACCAATCTTCTAACTTCAGGTCCCTAGTCCGTTAAGAAGCAGGTACTTACGGATCCACAGAGGAGAATTAAGTGAGACTGTACATATAAAGCACAAGCAGAAACTCGGGAGTGCAGAGGACAGCTTGCTACCGCTCAGCTCCCCTTCCTTTTTATCATCTGAAGATGACGACACTTACTTTTGAAGAATTTCACATCAAAACTAGAGGCCCAGTGCACGGATTCGTGCACCAGTAGGGTCCCTTGGCCTGGCCTGCCAATTTGATTCGCAGTCAGGACACATGCCTGGGGTGTGGGTTCAGTCCTTGATCAGGGTGTGTGCAGGAGGCAACTGATCAATGTTTCTCTCTCTCTCTCCTTTCCCTTCCTCTTTCTAAAATCAATAAAAACATATATACTTTTTAAAGTATGCTTAGAAAAAAAAAAGAAGAAGCCTAAGGAGGAAAGGTTTGAGTGACACGCAGGAGACACGCAGAAAGGTCCAAACATTACATCTTCAGAAGCAGTTTCTCTTCCTGGTGTACTTGCTGAACAAGAGCAGGATGGAAACCCTGACGAAGTGCTGTGGTTTTGGCATTTTATTGAGGCATTTATTCATTTCCAACTCATGCTAATTGCAGACATTTTGAATTGTTTTCCAACTTTCTTATGTGTGTTAACATCATTTCCCCCAAAGGTTTTAAGACCTCACGGACATGGGCTGTGTGTCCTCCTTAAGGCCTAGCATGGGACACAATAAATACCCCCTTCAGAACAAACCCCGAAGTGTGGCAGGGGAGAGCCAGGCTAACATGTCCCTCCTGGAGAATGCTGCCAGGGAAAGCTGGTGGGTTTTCTGGGAGATTTTGAAGAAAAAGGAAAAGATGGAAGGAAGCCATTTTATATTTTGTCTCTATTATATACATCTCCTTCTTTTTGAACTAATACCCTGTCTGCTCTCTGGAAAGCCAACCCATGCCACTCCCCAGCTCCCCGCCTCAACCACTGTGCTGAGGGGTAGAGCTGGGACCTGGACCCAACCTGTCAGCGCCCCATGTGACTCACACAGAGACCAGAAGCACAGGGAGACTTGCTGCAAATGACAGACAAAGGCACGCTTGCTTCCCATTGGTCCTGACAGATGAGAGCGGGCTGCTGCCACCTGGCCACCCGGCAGCCCAGGAATGAAGCCAACAAGGGGGCAAGAGCAGAAGCGAAACTGGGTCCTGGCAGCATCATCTGTGGTCTGATCACCTAAACCAAGACTTTCCAGTTTCCTGAGCTCATACATCTCCCACCTGCTTGATTGAAGTTGGGTTTTCTGTCAGTTGAGAGTCCTGGGTGACTCAGAAAACTTGCTTTGGAGTCAGGAAGACTTGGGCTCAAATTCTGGCTTCTAACTAACCCACTAGTGATGTCACCATGACCAAATGGTTTCTCCTCCTGAGCCACAACTTTCTCACCCATCAGTGCTG